ATTAAGGTTAAAAATGAAAACATTTAACAAATGCATTTTATTATTTTTATTTTTTTAAACATTCATTTATTTATGAAACATTCAGCTGCACCGGGTCGGGTCTTAGCTGTGGCACACGGGATCTTTAGTTGCGGCATGTGGACTCTTAGTTGCAGCACGCCTGTGGGGTCTAGTTCCCTGACCAGGGATCGAACCTGGGCCCCCTGCATTGGCAGTGTGGAGTCAGCCACTGGACCACCAGGGATGTCCCAACAAATGCATTTTAAAAGCTGCTAATGAGCAGGTGGGTGTATGTGCACCCAGAGGATGGGAATCCCTGGAAGGATGAAGGGTTTTGTAATGACCCCATGGGTCCCAGGAGAGGAGTGGACCCAGAGGTGGGTGTGACCTGTCCAAGTATCAGTCCACTCCAAGCATTTCACTAGAGCAGGGGCCCAGGGAGGCTGCCCTGTGTCCCCAGAGGTGCTTAGCCACGGGGCTGTGACGGCTCCCAGCAACTCCGCCAAAAAGGGCCCTGCGCTGTCTGTCACCCAGCGGGCCCTGATTCCCCCAGACCTGGAGCTCTGTGCCTCAGCCCTCGTCAGCAGCCCCCTCCGATCACCTGATCGCAGTGCCTGGCACAGGCCCACTGCCCAGTGTTCTTCACTGACTGGCTGGGGAAGGACTGTCCCATCTCCTCCCCCTGGGCCGAGGATGGACGGTGGGCAGACACTGACCTTGGTGGGAGGGACCTCTGACCTGCTGGAGTTGCCTAAGGGACTCAGGGGTAGCAAAGGAAGGGAGGGGACCCTGCAGCCTCCTCTCCTCACCAGGGCAGTGCTGAGGGGCCCCGCCAGGACCACATCCTAGCCACTGAGGGTGCTGCCCCTGTGTCTTGAGGCCCCATGTGGTCCAGGGCCTGGAAGGAAGGGGCCGGGGTCACCAGGCAAGGAAGGAAGAGGGAGAGGCCGTGTGGGCACGGAGGTGACACGATGACTGCCCCTCGCAGCAAGCCCTCGGTGCCGGGTCTCTTTGTCCGGCGTCATCTACCCCTGAGTTTCCTCACCTACTGGGCGCTCCCTCCCACGTCGCAGATAAGGAGACCGAGCCTCGGGGGAAAGGGCCCAGGTCACCAGCTGTGGGAGGGCAGCGCTGAGACCTGAACACGCTCAAGCATGGGTGAAGGGCCACAGAGGGCACAAGTCCGGGTGGAGCTAGGGGGGACACCCAGGTCCCTCCTGTCACCCCAGGCTGTCCTTGGGTAATCAGGCTGTGTTCATCCTGTCCTCAGACCCGAGCGCCCTGCCTTGGGCAGGCAGCCCCCACACCCTTTCACTGCCCTCCAGCCTCATCAAGGACCCACATGCTCAGGGCCAGACACCAGACATGACCCTCAGTCCACAAAGGAGCCCCAGGAAACATGGGCACTGGGGGAAGCCAAGCTGAGCCGAAGCGGGAGGAGTAGGGGGCCATGCGGGGGGAGGGAGTGGCCAGGCAGAGGTGCGACCAGGGGTCAGAGGTAGGGCCCAGGACCCGAGATCTAGGGGCAAACAGGATGTCCTGCTGCACAGGGGAACACAGACACCAGGCAAGGCCCGGGCACTGACAGGGGCTGGCACATTCCAGGAACGCACACACATGTGAACACACACACACACACACGCACACACGCACACGTTTCCTTATCAGCCAGACAACATGGTTCACAAGTCCGGAAGCAGCTCTGAGAGGCAGCCCCCCCCCCCCCCCCCGCT